TTTTCTCAATATTCATGTCTGAAATGTTTATATACTTGAAAACAACACTGTCTCGCTTCTGCCTACGTACTGTACCTCTGTATAATGAGTATGCCGTGAAAATAATGTCGGCACTCAATTGAATGCCTAGAATCTCAAAGATTTTCTCAATATTTACGTCTGAAATGTTTATACATTTGAAAACAACACTGTCGCTCCTTCCTACTCTGTATAATGAATATACCGTCTACATATATCAGTACTTGATTGAAAGACCGTCATGCATAACATAAACTTATATATTGCGTAGATTCTCAAAGATTTACTCAATATTCACGTCTGAAATGTTTATACATTTGAAAACAACACTGTCGCTCCTTCGTGAACTACGGCTTCATAGCGCATGCGCATTTGCGCTGCTATAGAAAAAATCGGGTGTTCCGGGGGAAAGATCCTTTACACAACATGAGAAGCGAATGTTCTAAAATTACAAAAATTTACAATAACGACAACAGTTCCTCGAAATTTTTGTGAACTTGGCAAAAGGACAAAAGAATATTTAAAGAAAATAAAGAAAATCGCTTAAATAACCTTCAAAGCGCTGACTAAGTACAATAAATCACGGCGAACATAAATCGTATACACCCCCCGCAAAGTTTACTCTATGATTGACTGACTGATTCGTGTGAATTCGCCAGCCATCACAACAGTGTGAAGTGAAACTTCACACTAAAAAGTGTCCCACAAGCCACTGATGTTTTTACCATGTTAGCGTTCTCTGTACAACTAGAACAGAGGTGTGCTTCGGATCGGACTGGAGGTTTATAATCCGATAATTGGTAATTTTTTGAAATCCGAATCCGATCCGGCCGAAAATAGGGAACTTTAGATTCGCTACGGCTACGAAATCTGGTACGACTACGAGATTTTTCCCGTTAATTTAAATATCTGCTACTACAGACTTTTTATCGTCCTTTCTCTTGCATACCACATCTTTAAAGCAACAGTTGCGCCAAACCACGTACTATTGTAAGTTTTTAGTAGCTGATATTTAATGGAAAAAATCTCGTAGTCGTACTAGATTTCGTAGCCGTAGCGAATCTAAAGTTCCCTATTGTCTGATCCGAATCCAATCTGATCCGAGTTTATTAAAACGTTCGTCCAATTTGATCCGAAAAAAATCTGAAAAAAACATCCAATAAACTAAACTATCCAATCAAGTGTATAACTGTATATCAATGTCAAATTTTTAATTTCTAGATTCTAGACTCTAGTCTTTTTCGCAATCTCGCGTCAAAAGAACTCAGATCTTTTATTCTTTATAAATAGAGTTAGGTAATAGACAATTAGAAATAAACAAAATAGAAAGATCATTAAGCCGTAAGCCTTTAGTTTTCACAGCAGCCATGGTAATCGAAGTACGATCCTATCCGACCACGAAAATACTTTTCTAATCCGATCCGATGTTAATATGATGGCTCCGAAATCCGAACAAATCTGATCAGATTGAAACGAATCGGATTCGAATTAGCCATTTCCCAATCAATCAAGCAGAGGACTGGGTCTAGTCGCTTGTTTGGAAGGACAAAAAAATAAACAATATGCGAATATTATGATTATTATTATTATTATCAAAACTTGGATTTTGCAACCTAAACGGTTGAAATACATCCATAAACATAACTGTATGCTTAACCATTACATGTAAAATACGAGTAATTATGATAAAAATATTAAAAATTCTCAGATCTGTTAATTATGGATATGTAACCTATACGACTAAAAACGGTTAAACTCTGATAAGAGTCTGAAGCCTAGGTACTAAGAATTATTAAAACGTTCAACAGACGACGGAATAAAAGAGTTTTTGAAGCGGTTTGTTGTGCATTTGATTGGAGCAAGTTTCTTTGGGGCACGTAGATCATATTTAGGAATTGCAGCGATCTTTACCAGACAAGATAGCGGACTAGACTCTGGGACAACTTTATTTTTAAAGAATGCCGAGCACAGTTGTTCACGTCTTGAATGCAAAGTTGGAATGTTACAGACCACTAGTGCGTCGTAATAAGATAGTGATGGATGGATAATTTTTAAAGCTTTGCGCTGAATCCTTTCAATGTCTTTTAATAAATATTCTGGAATGTTGAAATGCCAAATTTGGTTACAGTATTCCAATATTGGTCTTATACACGATGTGTACACTGTAATTAACGTTTTCGTATGAGCCTTCGCTCTTTTTAAAAGACGTAACATATATAAACGTCTCGAATATTTTTTACAACATATGCAACGTGTTCATTCCACTTGAGGTCACTGCTAAGCATTAGGCCCAATAGTTTTGCAGACTTTACTTGTTCAACAGGATAGTCATTTACGGTCAGTTGTTGAAAGTTAGGTTTCTTTTTCCAAAAACAAATTAGGATTTCCTTACACTTCCGGGCGTTTAAGACCATATCTTTTTCTTCACAATCTAGGGTAATTTGCAGGACTGATTGATCGTTTACAGCAACCATCTCCGAAAGAGTGGTGTCATCTACATATTTCCACCGGCTTTCCCACCCCTTTAACAGGTCGTTGATCATTATCATGAACAAGATAGGGCCCAGAACAGTTCCCTGTGGGACGCCACCATTTACTTGTTGATAGTTGGAGGTAGAATTTCCAACCCTCACTCGTTGCCTTCTATTGGTCAGGAAACTTCTTATCCTTCATCTTTGTTAGCAGAATGTTATGATTTATTCTGTCGAATGCTTTACTGAAGTCCAAGAGTAAAACACGAACACATTGGTCGCGTTGATCAGTAACCTTGTATAAATGGTGAACTAAAGACAGGAGAGCATGTGTTGTTGACAGTCCAGCTAGTGATCCGAACTGATTCAGGTCGATCAATTGTCTAATTTGTGACATGATCCATTTAGCAACAAAGCACTCCATTGTTTTTGAAAGGACTGCTGTTAATGATATGGGTCGTAAGTCCTTTTCAATATCCTTTACTGGGTTTATTTTAGGAATTGATATAATATCAGCTACTTTCAAGGCATTTGGAACTGTTCTTTCCTGGATCGAAGCATTAACGATTAGGGCTACAGGTGACGAAAGTTCCATTGCAAAGTCTTTTAAATGCATGTCGGTAAATTATCTGGCCCCGAAGCCTTTCCACGTTTTAAGTTAGATAACTGTTTGTACACATCTTCAGGAGAAATCCAATATTTCAGAGCAATTTCTTCAGCAGTCTCATAATCCGATTCACTATTCACTACGGGGGAAGTGGTAGTAGGCTATTATTAGTGGTCAAGAACTTATTATTAATTCTGGTAGCTAATTCTATGGAGTTAATTTCTGTATCTGCTTCCAACACACTCAGTAAGGATTTTTTTGAAGAAATGCCAGAGAGCTGTTTAATGGATTTCCACCACGAACCTGCGTCATCACAATTCTTCACTTTTCTTTCACAAAAGGAACTTCGAAGACGATTATTCAGTCTATTAACTTTATTTCTTAGCTTCCTAAATGTTTCTGGATCTTTATCCATAGCTTGCTGCCTTTGCTGGATTATTAAATTAAGGATCTTAGCTCGGATGTAATCCAGGGCTTATCGTTGGGATGTTGTTTACTTTTCCGTAACGGAAAAAAGAGTTCTATTGCATAATTCAGTAACGATTGGAATGCGTTGAGCTTTTCAGGACACGAGGGGAGGGCTTCAAGAAATGTGAAATCAGTTGACGTTAACCACCTTCCAAACCCGTCCTTCATATGTGGTTTTACAGACCTTCTATACACAACTTTCGCTTTTCTCTTCTTGACATGCATTAACGGTCACATAAATATCGATTTGTGATCGCTTAGTCCAATACCAGCCAAAATGTCAGGTTTGCTATAATGTTCAAACAAGTTTGTTAAGATCAAATCTAATGTTGCGCTTCCTCTTGTTGGAGCTTTTACCAATTGTCGAAGATTAAAATTATTACTCAATATTCGGAAATTGAAACGATTAAAATCACCAACCAAGAATATTCCAGCATTTGGGCTTTTATCAAGAACACTATCCATTGAAGAGATTAAATACTCAGCGAGACCACCCTCGTCGTCGAGTGGAGGGTGGTAAATAATAAAAATAATTATGCACGAAAACCACGTGGGAGTCTGAGTGGGCGAAGATATAACCAAAGACATTCAAATAGAGGGTTGCCCAATTCCACAATAATTGTAAACCGATCGAAGATTTAATGAAGGCTCAAACATCACCACCTCGTTTATGCATAACACGATCTTTACGGACTATTGTGTAACCACTGATGTCAACAACTGAAGCTGCGAT